GAATTCTGTATATTCAGAAATGGAGATGAGAATGTAAACAAATTATTACATCATTCACCATTTCCCGGAACCACATAGTCCATTGACATTATACTGTTTCCCCGTATGCTGAAGGTCCTGGCGTAATCTGTGCATGCTCTAATGTCTTCTGTGAACCTCCTCAGCTCAGCAGCAGATGCGGCCAGCAAGGCGGATCTCCATCAGCATCTCTCCGCTCCTCCTTAAGTCTAAAACTCTCTTTTCTCTTGGCTCTTCTTATTCCAGTGATGAGGAGGAGGAGTTGCATAGTAAGTAAGCAACTTTGGTGTCCAGTGACTGTTCTTGAAGGTCTGACCAGCTCAGAAAATGCTATAGGCTTGGTACTAAGAAATTGTTTGGAGGCTTTTAGCCCCTTGCATGCCATCCTTTGTAAGTCTTTTGTCTTTATGCTTGCCTTTGAGAATTGGTTTGGATAGAACATTTGTTGTCTTCTGTGTAGTACTGACACTGAGCCACTGGCCTCCTGATTCCAGGGCACAAGATATCTTTCCAGCACACAGATACCCTCAAAGGTGTAGGGGATGTGTTCCCATCCCATTGTGTACTCTTTGTAATAGTATTGTGTGCTAATTTCACAAAACTTTTTATTTCACAATGTAAATTTTATTTTCCTTGTTTTGTTGTTCTGTCTCGTGGGACAGATATCTAGATGTTCATCTGTGGTATTTAAAAGCTATTTTTACACTTTTTTTCTTCTCCTTTTCAGACCATTTCTTTAAAAATACCTTTCCTTTAAAATTAGACCCTATGGATTAGAGGGAGGGAGTTATATATGTATTTATCTCCTACTTTCTCTCTCCTTTTGAACTTTTATTTTTTCAGTTCTTTGAATAAACTGTAGGCTTCAAATGAATACATTCTTACTTGATAATGCCTAGTATAAAAACTTTACAAGGTATCAATTTAAGTAAACTTGGAAAAGAAATAAATTCCCCCTTCATGAAAATTACTGTCTTCAATTGTGGAAGATTTCTAGAATATTCCAGGATTGCTTTTAGTGGATAAACCTCTTATAATAGAAAAGTAAATAATGAATTGTTTTTACATAACTAGTATTATGAGTCTGAGACAATTACCATACCCGTATGATTAAGCACCCCAATTCCCTACCACTTGCTGATTCTAAGTTTCAGCAATATTAAGTGTTGCTCAAGCTGGCATTTTCACACTATTCTTAAAGGGAAATGCATTATGCACAGTAAGACAGTTAATTTGCTTTTAAATGGAGGCCTTATTAAATAAGATTTGGTATATTTTTCACTAATAAAACATGTTTGAAAAATAGACACAGAATAAGATGATCCCAGTTGCAATAGGAGGAAAGTTGTGAAAATCCCCTGTAACTTTGGGTATTCAGAAATTGTCAAAGCTGTTTCATTTCAGAGTATTTGTAATAGGCCAGATGCGGTGGCTCACACCTCTAATCCCAGAACTTTGGGAGGCCGAGGCAGGCAGATTACTTGAGGTCAGGAGTTTGAGACCAGCCTGGCCAACATGGCGAAACCCTGTCTCTACTAAAAAACAAAAAATTGGCTGGACATAGTGATGAGCACCTGTAGTCCCAGTTACTCAGGAGACTGAGGCAGGAGAATTGCTTGAACCTGGGAGGCGGAGGTTGCAGTGAGCAGAGATCATGCCACTACACTCTAGCCTGAGCAACAGAGTGAGACTCCATCTCAAAAAAGAAAAAAAAAAAAAAGTATTTGTAATATACTGGGAAGTAGCCTAGTCAGCATGACAGATAAACCAAGGTCCCAGCCGGGCACAGTGGCTCACGCCTGTAATCTGTAATCCCAGCACTTTGGGAGGCTGAGGCAGGCGAATCACGAGGTTGGGAGTTCAAGACCAGTCTGGCCAACATAGTGAAATCCTGTCTCTATTAAAAATACAAAAAATTAGCCGGATGTGGTTGCGGGTTCCTATAATCCCAGCTGTTCGGGAGGCTGAGGTAGAAGAATCGCTTGAACCCAGGAGGCAGAGGTTGCGGTGGCCGAGATGGTGCCATTGCACTGCAGCCCAGGCGACAGTGTGAGACTCCATCTCAAAAAAACAAACAGCAGCAGCAGCCAAGGTCCTGCTAATACAGAATTATAATCCTATAACAGCACTGGTCGCTCAGTTAATCCAACACAATGGAACCTTAAAAATATGGAAGCTTGCAGAAACTTTTGAATCAAATATCTTCTCAAAATGTGTTTCTTAAATTCAAAAATACTAGTAAGAATTATGTGTGGGCAGGGAGAACCAAAAGAAGGGAGGGGTTGGTTCATGGCCAAATATTAGTAAATTTAGGCAACTCTGGGTTAAGAAGCTTTAAAATGCTAATGTTGTGTTACATTGTGGATTTTCAAGGCAGAGTTCAATATACTGTTTCTCCCAAATGTATTAACTAGGAAACCACAGTATGTGCAGCACTGTATACATTTCATGAAACTGGTGTTCCATGGAACACACTCTGAAAAATATTCGACTGTGTCCATCCGGTAGTTCCACCCTGAAGTTCCTGGCTGTAGTATAAATCTGCAGGTTATTTCATGCCTTGAAAGATAATCTAGTTGAAATATATTATTTACCTACAATAATACTTTGCAGGCTAACTTTAATGACAAGTTTTGTTTCGTTTCTTTTGTCCATAATTTTGTCATGGAAGTAGCATTGGTTGTTTTCTACTCTTAGATGCTCTGAAAACTTGATGACACTTTAGGAATTTCAGAGGCACTGGTGGATTAATTACTGTTTTCAGAACCACATCTAAAAGGTCATTATAACTTAACTAAAATTTTTAGCAGTGGAGAAGTTGAAAATATTGTAGGAGTCATAGATTCTCCTAGTACTCAATCACATATTTGTTCAGTTTTTAATTTATTCCACAGATATCTACTGGAAGCTTATTATTGGCCTGGTTTTGTGTTGGTTGGTATTTTTTTGCATTATGAATTTTATTTTTATTTAGTTCATATTACTAGGGTGGTAACTTACTAAGTAATTGCTTAAATGTATAATAGAATCCAGGCAAGCTTAGAAAATTTAATGCTGCTTATATCACTGAAGTTTCCTTGGGCAGAAAAAGTTTTAAAACCCCTGATTTTTTTTTAAATCCTCTTGATTTTTTTTAAGTACACTGAGACATCATGAAATTAAAATGCTGATAGTTTATACCTAGATTATATGGAACCTGGAAATGAATCCCAGATATTCTTACTCTGCTAATCTTTCCCTCTCACCTGGCTGTTGTTACCATGTGTCGTAAGTGAAATAAATAGAAGAAGAACCCCAAATTGGGAAAAAGGGAAAAAAATACGGAAGGCAATCTCTTGAAGACTTAGAATTTCAGGTTTCTTATGTATTATTCCTACTTGTTGGCAATTTAAATTTAGCCAGGTGCAGTGGCTCACACCTGTAATCCCAGCACTTTGGGAAGCTGATACAGGAGGACTGCCTGAGCCCAGGGGTTCAAGACCAGCCTGGGCAACATGGCAAGTCCCTGTTTCTAAAAAACAATTTTTAATAATAATAAAAATAATAACTACAGTTTTGGATTTCTGTTCAGAATCCAAAACAGTTTGAGAGTTGAAGAGTTTCAAATGCTGGTAATCTGGGAGTTTTTTTGTTTGTTTTTGTTTTTGAGATAGAAAGTCGCTCTGTCACCCAGGCTGGAGTGCAGTGAAGCGATCTCGGCTTACTGCAGCCTCCGCCTCCTAGGTTCAAGCAGTTCTCCTGCCTCAGCCTCCCGAGTAGCTGAGACTACAGGCACGCACCACTATGCCTGGCTAATTTTTGTATTTTTAGTAGAGAAGGAATTTCACCATGTTGGTCAGGTTGGTCTTGAACTCCTGACATCAAGTGATCCGCCTGCCTCAGTCTCCCAAAGTGTTGGGATTACAGGCATGAGCCACTGTGCCTGGCCCAAATGCTGGTTAACTGGTAGTAGAACATCTTCAAGTCTCTGTCAGATTATCAGGTTAAAGTTTGGCTCACAGTAGTCTCAGAGATCCTTGAAACCAACCTCAAGGAAAAAGGAGGGTGTTTTGTCTAAATCGTTACAATAGTGATATAGGGTAACCTTTATTTCCCTGGAATATACATGGAAATAGTTCTGTAACTGATCTCCTGAAAAGTGAAAATCATTTATCACTGTAACTGAGGCCTTGCTCTCATCTAAGTCTTCAGTAACTCAACCTTTATTAACATGCGGTAGATCAAAATAATGATAATATTCCTTCTGTTTTTTCTTCATGTTGCCCTATCTAACATAGTCTTAGAATTTTAATGATCTGCAGCAGTTTATGGCCCAGTAGTTGTGGAAGGAAGAAGTATGCATCTGCCTCATTCATTATTATCTCTATTAGCCTGGAAAGGACTTTGCCATCTGTTTTATCTCCCTCATTTCACAGATGAGGAAATGAAGTCCAAAGGTCTCATCCCAAATTAGTGACAGGGCCAAGACTTGATAAGCCAGCTCTGATGCTCTTTCCTGGTTACTAATCTTTTTCTAGCAATTCTCATGAAAATATTAGAGATGAGCTAGATCTTTAGTATAGAAACATTTAAAAGCAGTATTAGCAGGGATAAAATATGACATTTAATTTCCTATTCTATATTCTTCCTATGATGTCATCTCAGAAAGATGGTTTGTGCAAACTTAAGATTGTTAAGAACTGGAATTAAACCTGCTTCGTATATGTTTAAGCATTAGAAAAGTTATTTTGAGTCTTTTCAATTACTTGAGTCGCGGATTAAACTTGCTTGCTTTATGAGAAATTCACTGCCTACTTCTGGTTCTAATTTGAGGGTTTCAAGTTTAATTTTTCCTTCTTTCAAACCTTTAGAAGGAGGAGGTACCATGTGCTGACTTTCATATGCTGTTTTTGCTTTAGCTATGTCATTGTGAATTTATAAATATTCTACCTGTCATGTGTTAAATTTTTTGGTTCTAACTTTTCCTCTGCCTTGTTTTCTAGATTCACGGCCCTTCCACAGTACCTTCCACAATACCAGTGCTAATCAGACTGAGAGGTACTATAAACTTGTTACTCCTTTTTCCAGAAATGAAATGAAGAAAATTTAAAATCTCTTAGGCCATTTAATTACATAAACTAAGTTAATTGAGCTCATCGGATTCCTCTTTCAGTGATAAATTTGGAATAATGATTAAGGTGGTTTTATCATGAAGGCTGTATCTCTTAAAGTTAATGTCTTCAATCGTTTTCTTTGATTAATTACACTATCCTCGTGATAAAAAATGGTTTGTATTTATTGATGTGAGGGTACACTATTATTTGATTTTATGAACTCATGCACACTTTGCTTATGGGGATTTTTCATTCCTAAATCTAACAGTTTAACAACATTTTGTTTCATATTAGTGTCTCTGTGTGTATGCAATTTATAATACTCTTAGCTATTTTAAGCTTTAAAGCTGTTTTCTTCTGTATACATGTAAATGGTACACAGCTCTGTCAGAGTAAATGAATTGCTTCTTTTTTTTTCTTTTTCCTTTTTTTGAGACAGAGTTTCGCTCTTGTTGCCCAGGCTGGAATGCAATGGCACGATCTCGGCTCACTGCAACCTCCACCTCCTGGGTTTAAGCGATTCTCCTGCCTCAGCCTCCTGAGTGGCTGAGATGACAGGCATGCGCCACCATGCCTGGCTGATTTTGTATTTTTAGTAGAGACAGGGTTTCTCCATGTTGGTCAGGCAGGTCTCAAACTCCCGACCTCAGGTGATCCATCTGCCTCGGCCTCCCAAAGTACTGAGATTTACAGGTATGAGCCACCACGCCCGGCCACGAATTGATTCTTTACTTGACAGCAAGCAGAAGATTTCTGTTCTGACTCATTATTTTAATTTCAGTTTTCATGCTTATGAGACGGAATATTCTACTTGAAGCATAATTCGGGTTCCTATAGCTGCCCTGCAGTTTTTTCTGAGTTGCCTTTTCACAGAGGCATCAGTTATGATTCTGATTCAGAACGCTTGCAATGAATGCTTTTCTTTGCACTGCTTTTACAGCTTATTTGTTCTTTCTCCTTTCTAGAGCAGTGGCTTTCATACCATTTCCCCATTATCTTAAAAACAGACTGCTTTGTTTTTTAAACAACACATATGTAAATAAACTTTGACTGTTGACAGGACCCCTTATGGTGCTGCTTCTGCCTGCCACCTGCCCTCTCACAGAGGCCCTAGAGGCAGTCACTGCTGTTCTGTGGGAACCGTCTATAACTATTTTAGAACACCTAAGCAAAGTGTAGTATAAATGGATGCCTTTTCTATGTAACGGATTGTTTATTCGAATGCCCAGCTTTTTTTTTTTTGGAGACAGAGTCTCACTGTGCCTTCCAGGGTGGAGGGCAGTGGCACAGTCTCAGTTCACTGCAACCTCCATCTCCTGTGTTCGTGCATGCCACCACACCCAGCTAATTTTTGTATTTTTTAGTAGGGACAGGGTTTCACCATGTTGGTGAGGCTGGTCTCGAACTCCTAACCTCATAATTCGCCTGCCTTGGCCTCCCAAAGTGCTGGGATTACAGGCATAAGCACCACACCCGGCCCAAATGCCCAGCATTTAAGAAAATCAACCATTGCAAATTTCCTAAGTTAGAACATGTCCATCTTGGATGGACTTAGATTTTATGTAGCCTTCTCAAACAGGTAGATCAGTATATCTGAATCTACATAAAACTCTTAAAATTGATCTTTCAACACTCTGCCTCAATTCTACCTGCTACTCAGTACGTTCCCTCCTAAAATTGAAGCTAGCTGCATGGACCAGTCCACAGTCCTGATTGTCCAGCGTCCCAAAGGCTAGAAAAGAGTTGTGATCTGTACCGTTAAGGAACTTGGATATGTGGTCAGTCATAAGACTCCTTGGTTGGTAACTCCTATTAGCAAGTACCCTGTCATTCTGCTACATATATGGGTTTCCTTTCAAGCGCCCATTTGTTGCAAAGGAGGTTGTAGATTGAGTGCTATTGTAGATGAATAGATTTCCATACAAAATAATTATCTGATAATTGACAGGCTCTTTTTAACATGAAATCACTGAAAACCCATAATTAAAACATTAAAAATGGGCCAGGCGGTAGCTCACGCCTATAATCCCAGCACTTTGGGAGGTTGAGGTGGAAGGATTGTGTGAAGCCAGGAGTTCAAAATCAGCCTGGGCAATATAGCAAGACCCCATCTCTACAAAAAAATTAGAAAAATAGCCAGGCGTGGTGGCATGTGCCTTCAGTCTTAGCTTACTCTAGAGGCTGAGGCAGGAAGATCATATGAGCTCAGGAGTTCGAGGCTGCAGTGAGCTATCATCACACCACTCAGAGCAAGACTCTGTCTCCAAAACAAACAGGTGAGCAAAAAAACATTAGTGATGGATCTAAGGAAACTTAGCCAAGTTTTGATAACAGAACCTGGGTGTTGTGGCATACTGTGTTCTATAAAAAGCCATTCAGCAACCTTCATCTACCTTTTATTCTGCTTCACATTTATTTATCTTCTGTAGTCCTTTAAAAAAGTCAATCTTCTTGTTTTATTTAGTATAACAGAAGAGAACTATAATTTCCCGCCACAAAGCCTCTTCAAGAAAGATTCTGAATGGAAGAGTGCAACAAAAGTCAGTCGTACATTCAGCTACATCAAGAATAAAATGTCCAGCAGCAAGAAGAGCAAAGTAAGTATCACTGTGGGCATTGCTTGTGATCACCGTAGTCGGTCCTCAGTAGGATTCTGTCACAGCCTTTATCCACGCCAAAACTGGTTAAATCATGGGGACATAAATGAAAATAAATTTAGGATTACTCTCTGAAATCGCCTAATATGTAAAGGAAAATAATAAGAAAAATAACAAGAAGTGGAACTACCAGTTACTGAATTTTCACTATATGCTAAGTGCTTTCCATATATTATTTAACCCTTTCAACAGCCCTATCAGATAGGTATTATCTCTCTTTTCTAAAAGTGATGTACCTTACCAAGGATGCTCCTCTAATGTGAAGAAGTAGTTCAAACCAGATCTCTTTTTCAAATCCCATCCTCTTAAACCACAGTGCTTAAATCTGTAATATCAGTTTAAATGCAAAAGAAGGATTTTATGCCAAGATCAAAGGATTGAAAATATTTACGTTTGGGTTTAGAGGGAAGGATTATCCTACGGAAGATTACAAGAACTTTTAAGATTAATATCATTTCTTAGATCTATTTCTAATTAGGAGCATTTAGAACATATTCTCTTGGTGCTTAAGAGATTAAATAAATATTTAAACCAAGTGTGAGAGAGAGAGAGAGAGAGAGTGTGTGTGTGTGTGTGTGTGTGTGTGCGCGTGTGTGTATGTGTAGAGGGCTCCACTCTATCATCCAGGCTGGAGCACAGTGGTGTTCATGGCTCACTGCAGTCTTGAACTGCCAGGCTCAAGCAATCTCCTGCCTTGCACCTTAGCCTCCCAAGTAGCCAGGACTACAGTCATGCGCCATCATGCTGAGCTATGTTTAAATTTTTTTGTAGAGATGAAATCTTGCTATTTTGTCCAGGCCGGTCTAACTCCTTACCTCAGGCATTCCTCCTGCTGCAGCCTCCCAAAGCACTGGGTGTGATCCACCATGCCCAGCCTAAAGTAACATTTTTTATCTAGTTATTTTTTACATGCTCATTAGGGGAATCTTCAAAATCTAAAAGTAAAAGAATGAAAATCTCCTGTAATAACCCCACTTAGCGATAACTATGCTTAATGTTTTGGTTTATGTATTTCTAATGTTTTTTAAAAATGTATTTTCAAAAGAAAGGGAGAAAAGAAGTTCACTTTCTTATACTGATTCCCAGTGCTAAACCAAAACTCATTCTATTTCAAGTCTGTGGGGAAAATCTTTTCGCCTCTCATACCCTATTTGTCTACCCACGACACCCTCTAACAAAATAAAGACATAAATAAATAAAAATTTGAAATCAGTTAAGGAACTCTTGCAAGCAATCACTGTGTATGTATGCGCGTGCGTGTGTGTGTGTGTGTGTGTAGTATATACATGCATATACGATATATACACACATGTACATACATGCATACTTAGAAGTAAGGGAATAAATAAACATTGAATTCAATAATACTGTCATAAAAGGGCATCGCCTCCTCCCCCACAAAACAAGGTGCACTAAGCTGCTCAAACCCTCAATTCAGTGGGCTGATGGACATATAGCCAAAGTATTTTACCATGTTTTGTAAGATCTCTTGGTTTAGCAAATACATTCAGAGAAATTTTTCCACAAAACCTGCCACAAGAATTGTTTTCTCTTCATTTCTCCTGTCCAAGTACAGAATGGAGAGAAAGTAGGCAATCAGGGAGGGATACAAAGAGTCTAGCAAATTATGTCTAGCATAATCACACATTTAAGTATTAACTTCGGACTCAGCCTTGTTTTATAATTCAAAAAAAAAAATGAAGGTCAAAGAGGGTAGAATGCTTTACCAGTATTCTACATATTTACACATTGGCAGCCAGGCTTAAAATAGAGCCTTACCTATTTTACTTACCACTGCTGGCTTGGATAATAGTTGGTATCAACAAAAGAAAATCCCCTTGGATAGATCAATATAAATTAGCCAAATATTATTAAATGACTTGTATAGTCTTAGCATTCCTCTAAGTGTTAACAGGCACCTAAGAGAACTAAAGCTCATAGTCATGACCTTGAAAAACTTTATGGTATAGTTTGGATACATTCAAAAATTTTTTGTTGTTTTTTATTTTGCTTTTGAACTGCCGAATCTGGTCTTCAAACAAGCTTTTCATGGAAGACCAATAAATAAGTGGAGATTCCCCCTTTCTAGCCATCTCCCCAATGTCATGGAGTTTTAGAACAGAGCAGTGAATATACCACTGATCTCATGGATGAGGTAAAACACACACACAATGGGGAAAAAAACAATGTAAGATGGAATTTAGAAACTGGACCCTGACGTTTAAAAAAGTCTCATCTTGGCCTCCTTGTTTTACAGACTGAGGCACAGAGACATATGCTTCAAGTCACACAACCTCCTGTGATCTGACTTCATCATTGTGTGTTTAAACAAAATGTTACTATACAGTGTAATTTTTTTCTTTTAACTTTTTAAATCTGAAAGGACTGGAGTTTGCTAGGAGGGGATGAGCAGAAAGGACAGGAGAAAACATACTTTGTGTTAGACTGAAATCTGTTATCACTGGTAGAAACTGTTTAGTGTCAGTTGATCTCTTGCCTTTGATCATCTCCTTTGTCAAAATGACAGCACTCTTTTGCAATTGAGATTGGTTCCTCTTTCAGACTTGGCTTCAAGATTTGATCTCTTGGGGCCATGCTGTGTTTAGCAGTGGAAACTCAAAAAATTACAAATTCGTAACCCTAGATTATAGTCCATTTCCCATTACCAAGTGTTTAGAGTGTCCTAGTGGCAACTGTAAGTCACCTTTTATAGTGAGTTGTTATTAGCTCACTTTTAAATAAAATTGGAACAGCTTGGCTTTTATCAATGTAGCAAAAGATGATTTTTGAAAAGTGTGGGGCGTGGCACAGTGATACACACGTGTAATCTCAGTACTTTGAGGGTGAGATGAGAAGATCACTTGAGACCAAGAGTTCAAGGTCAGTCTGGGCAGTATAGTGAGATCTCATCTCTACAAAAAACTGTAAAATTAGCTGGGCGTAGTGGTGCACACCTGTGGTGCTACTCAGGAGGCTGAGGCAAGAGGATCAGAGCCCAGGAGTTCAAGGCTGCAGTAAGCTGTGTGCACTCCAGCCTGGACAATGGAGTGAGATCCTGTGTCTTAAAAAAAAAAATAAGAAAGGAAAGAAATAGAGGAAAAGCAGTATGTTTTGTGTTAAATACCCTCACTATGCTATGTATCTGCATAGCATTCTACCATGCAGAAGTAATTTATTTTCTAAATGGTAACATAAAAATTAATGAATATTAAATTTTCTTAGCATAGTGATGCTAACTCTAATCTTGTTCTTAACTATTCAATAATGTTACTTCTCCATAATGTTAACAAATTGAAAGTGCTACTATGGATATTGACACTCATTTTTCTGTGAAAATCACAAATTTTCAGTTTTCCAAAATTATTTTTTAAATAGATGCTATGAGAGACCATCTGATCCAATTGTTTTATTAACCCACCATTCAATAAAACTAGACCTACATCTTTTAAAGGAAAAATTAAAAGCATCTACTGAATATGATATTAAAATGCCACCTGTAACTCAGAAAAGTGTCTAAGGATTATTTGAAAATGTCTGCTTTCCTTTTGCATGATATATATGTATCTTTATGAAAATAGGTTATAGTGATTAACCTAGATATATTCTATTCAGTTGTATAATTGTGATGATACACAGTTCTTAAACATGTCCAAAGAAGCCAAAAGCCAGTAGGCAGTAAACTGTTCACATTCCTAGGAGGGTAACAGTTTGTCTGGAGTACTGGGTTTTGTATATAAACTTAAAAAATTGAGTCCTTGATCCTATGTCCTTTTGAGAATTATCACCGACTGGCATAAGTGATTAAATATATTGTATGTTTTTGTTGAAAACAGGGGTGCTAAACAGGAAGTAGAACAGGAAGACCGGCAGTTTCTGCTTTTGTCTTAGTATCTTTGAGAGATAGTGCTGTTTCCTGCTAAGTAATTTTGCATGTTGCAGAGTATTTAAACACTCATATGCATGATGTTCGAGTTCACAAAGGGAGTAGAATGACCCTCTTTAAACCATCCTATCACACTGGTTTTCTTTTTTCTAAACCACAGTTACTTTTGCACCAACCTAATACTAAGCTTTCTTCTTTGTAGACAAACAAGAGGTGGTTAGAAATGTTTTAGACAAATCTATTTGATTTGAAGTAGGTATTTTTGAGTGCACGGGTTAAATTCCTGCACAGCTGCAAGTATACTACATGACTTTGTAACAGGAAATTCAGTTAAAGCTCCTAGGTCCTGTGGTCTGTATAAAAGAGAGCTGTACCCATTAGCCTTTCAGAAGTGCCTCCTAGAGTAGTGTTTACAAAGACTTAATGTTAAACGTAATTCTCATTCCTTCTTTGATTAAAGATCTGTGACATGATGGTTGTTTGATCATATCATGTTTTCACAGTTGTCCAGAGTGTTCTTTTTATTGTAATTACATGTATAAAGGGATATTTTTGGAAAAGTTAAGAATCACCTTTGATAGTGTCCTAGTGCAGTTGTTACCTGCATCTATCCCTGTTAAATACTGTTAGCCTGTTTCCCCAGCACACAGCTAAAGCATTTTGCCAGTTGTTAAACATGGAAAAGTCGAACTTCAGAAAATAACTAGTCACCACTTTACCGCAGGCAACTTCACTAAAAAGTTTTCTTAGGAAACTCACTGCATTTTATAAAATGAGGAGTCTATTTTAAAATAGATAACATGCGTCCCTTAACTTCCCGTGTAAAAACTTGGCCCAAACCTTGCCAGAGTTCTTATGTTGCAGCTTAAGCACTGTCCACACACACTGTTTTTGGGGGAATGGGGTTTTGTTTCATTTCCTGTATCCTTTGTAACAAGGGTTGTTGGCTTTACCAGCAGCATTCAAACAGTTAAGACTGTCTTAAGGAAACAAGCAGTCTCAGCCCTCCCTCCTTCCCTTTCTTAACCAGTCTCTGGCTTCCTCTTACGGTTTCACTAATGGCAGCTCAAAGCTGCTGAGTTCTACCTTGACGGCATGCACCCCCGCTTCTGTGAGAGCACGTTTCCTGGCATGGGGGTCGAATCATGTCGATAAAATGGGGTCGGTTTCATGAAGTACCCCACATAACAGTGAGATTCATAGGACCAAAGCATGGGGAGGTAAGAGCCTGACTTCTTTAAAGCACTAAATTCTAGTAAACACAGAAAGAGCCAGTGGAGTTGGTTGTTTTGTTTTGTTTCTATCCTGGGAAGAACTAGTTTGGATTGTTGCAAAGGGAAGCTATTTCTTATTTATTCAGGTTTGGGGAACATTGCAAGGCTTGAGAGGATAAACTGGTTGCCATAAAAAGATTTTTTAAATGATTGAAGTATACTTTAACTTTCCTGAGCAAAAAAATCGTGCTTTTCCATTTAACATTTTATGCATGGAAAAACCTTTAGCAAAATTTAGTTAAAAGAAAGAAATTATTTGAAAACCCCCAAATTTAGTTGTTATTATTAAAGTTTTATGTACTTGTGCGGTTACCAATTTTCACTCAGAACAGCTTCCTGTTTTGTAAAGTGGAGGAGTTTTTCTCCCTTCCTCTCTCATTATTTTTTATAATTCAAAAGTGTAGTAATTTGGCTCTTAGATGTTCATTATATGTATTTGATTAGCAAAAGACTTCACATGAATCATAGATGTAGCAATTATTTACCATTTCATTACAGTGGATGGGTTCTGAACAGAAAGTCAGAAGACCTGTGTTCCCATTTTGACTGTGCTGATCATCTGTTGTGTGACCTTTTGCAAGTCAACCAACCTCTCCAGTCCCTGGCAGCATAGTGCAGTGTATGAGAGCTGAGCTTTACAGTCAGCCTGATCTGAATCTTAATTTCAGCTTGAGCAGTTACTGGCGTGTGGCCTCAAATGCGTTATTAAACATCTCTAAGCTTCAGTCTCTTCAGATGTAAAATGGAGATAACACCTAGGACTTAATTCATTGGGTTGCTGTGAGAAAATACATGTGAATTGCCTATTACGGTGCTTAGCACTTAGTAACTGTTCAGATTTTTAGCGGTTATTTATTATCTTTATCCTCTACATAGTAAAATGGGAAGCATAACGCTCACCCTGCCCACTTCAGAGTCATTGAGTCACACGACATGATGTACGTAGAAGACATTGATTCAAAATGTAAGGCATTTAGTAATTGTTGTGATCACTGACTTGGGACACCCATTTTCCTGGAATTTTTTTAAGGACATAACAATAGTATTGGCAATAGATAAAACCTCCTACCTTGTGAATGGTAGTTTCTTGTAGTCCAATTGGTTTGAAAGGAAATTATCTCATCGATACTAATTAGCCAGCCAAGTACTCTGCCAAACGGTGCTTAAAGGACCTTTTACGGAGAGCATGGTTATGTCCCCATGGTCCTGGCCTCCTAAGGTTGGTGTTCATCTGAAATGTCCCTGACTGCTTTAGATATTTAATTAAGGACCCAGCATTCATCAGTCGTTCTGCAGGTTTTCAAGGTTTGAATTCCTTTCCATTCCTCTTCATGACTGTGTAAGCTTTGATAACAACCTCTCTTCGATTGAGGCTTGATGTCATATGAGTCCTCTGCTTTCAGTCTGTCTCTAGAACATTTCTGACATTCCTACATTATTCTTGAGGTGACATGGCCAAGGTATTCTGGCACTTAGAGCTCCTGACTCCCAGCCCGTGCCCCCACTGGTCACCCAGTCTGATCTCTCCTTTGCTGGTGTCCCCTGAGCTTTGTACCTGGCCTGGTTATGGCCTGCTCAGTAAGTAGAAGCACCTGGGCAGTGACTGGGCAGACAGGAAGCACAAGGTGAGTATCAGTTTCTGTTGCCACTCTGACAAGTGAGGGAAGACCACAGGAAAGAAAGGAACTTCACAAAAGAGGTCAGAGAGCACGGCTTAGGAAGGTTATCTTTCCAACCTAGGGACACTGCCTGCTTTTCCTGCCTTCCTGCACCCCTAGGTACTTAGGGTAGAGGAGTGAGCTACTAAGCCTTGGGACTTCCTTTCCCTAGTACTCTGTTTTCTTAAAGGAAGTGACCCTGTTGGTAACTAGCTTGAGGAACGACAAAGGTGGCTTTTGAGAAAAATTATTAACAAGGCTCCTTCCTGTCATCTGTGCATTCTCCTATCCTCCGTGCCCTGCACCATTATCCTTTAGCCACCCCCCAGTTTCTTCTATCTTCCCTTCTCACATCAAAACTTCCGTTCCATTACCGCAAGCAATACCTTTCTATGTTGGCTTAGGAGAATAATGAGCTAATGAAACTCATTTCCAGTAAATTATGCATAATTAATAATATTGCTAAGTGTTACTATGTATTCAGTTTGTGCCAGGCACTGTGCAAAATGCTTTAGAAATGTATTATCTCACCTAATTCTCATATGTTTTAAAAAACGTATGAGATGGGTACTTTTGTGATTATTCCCGTTTGACAAATGAGAAAACTGAGGCTCAGAGAAATAATTTACCCAGGGTCACACCATTACCAAGTAGTAGTAGTGGTAGTAGTGGTGGTGTTGGTGTTGGTAGTCATGGTAGTAGTAGTAGTAGTACCTGAATCTGAACCAAGGTCTGGTACCATTATCCGTATTCTTAACCACTGTGTGGTTTTCCAGTCTCCCCCTCTTATCAGTCTCCTCTTGCCAGTTTGAAAATTAGGCCAAAGTTAATATTTATAAACCTTAAAATTCTAATTAGCAGAAACTGAAAATGTATATGTGGGGCATATTTATGTTTCTAACTAGAGTAAAGGAGGAAATTTCATAGGTACTCCCTCACTTAGGGATATGCGATTGATGTGAGAAAGTTAGAGAGGAGCCTCGGCAATTTTTCATGCCGCCCAGGCATCTTTCTCTCCCTCAGGCCAATCCCAGAATTGCTACCACCCTTTCTTCTGCCTTCTGCCTAAAGCTGACCTCTCTTCCTGTGTGGACTGTGCTGTAGCTTGCTGAGGAAGGACTGTGCTGAGGCCTCAGAAGCCCTCCTTGCAGTGCTGGTCCTTGGGCATTGTGTCTATCGGTAGAAGTAACCAATGGATAAGCCACTTCCAGAACTCTTCGGCCTGCCCAGTTTTCATGTGAATTTTCTAATGTAGCTTGCATGCCAACATCTTAATTAAACACACACACACACACACACACACACACACACACACTTTGCCCAGAACTTTTTTTTTCACTCTTGTCCAAAATAGTCACCAGCCACTGTTGACCACATGCCATCTGGGTGCCCAGGTAAGGAGAAGGCCCTCCAGTGTTTAATTAACTGTGGATTCTTTTCTTTTCTTCAGCAGGAAAAGGAAAAAGAAAAAGATAAGATTAAGGAGAAGGAGAAAGATTCTAAAGACAAGGAGAAAGATAAGAAGACTGTCAACGGGCACACTTTCAGTTCCATTCCTGTTGTGGGTCCTATCAGCTGTAGCCAGTGTATGAAGCCCTTCACCAACAAAGATGCCTATACTTGCGCAAGTAAGAGACGTGCTTTTTCCTCTCATAAGATGGAACTCTCTTGGCTCAGGAAAGCTCATTTCTAGTTTCCTGTCCACCCCACTCCTTATCTGTTCCTCATTTATGTGGAGAAGTAACCCTTTTTATATCTTTCTTTAGACATGATGAAGAAATTCTAGATATATAATATACAGCCTATTTTTTTCTTCAGACAACCCCAATTTCAAATACAAACAGTCAAGAGTCAAGTTAAGATGGTTCAACTTACAGTTTTTTAACTTTACAGTGGTTCAAAAGCAATACACATTCAGTATAAACTGTCTACCCGTACAGTCATTTTGTTTTTCACATTTAGTGCAGTAGTCAGTAAATTACATGAGCTAGTCAACACTTTATCATAAAACTGGCTTTGTGC